TGTATATATATATATATATATATAAAATCTTGGGGAAATATGTGGAAATGTATATATGTGTGTGTGTGTGTGTGTATGGATAGATAATTTATCTATCTACATATCACAGGCATACCAAGAAGAAAACAGGAAAGGGAAAAGCTGAAGTTTCTTCAAGTTTTAAAATTACATTGTTCTAATTACCTTCTTGGTTTGTACCAATTTTAATCACTTGCAAGGGAACAAGTCTGACAGATTTTGAAACAGTTTAAACATTTCTGTATTCTACGCCATGAAAATTTCTTTATCATGGACATAGGTTGTTTGCAATTTTCAAATGTGTTAGGATTTGGTGGAAATATTGAGATGTTGTTAAGTATTTAATTAAACCACAACAAATCAAAATTAAAATTAATGTGAGTCCATATGTATTTGGAAATGGACAACTCTAATCTACAGGATTTTTGTGGAGGCTGTAAGCAGAGAAAGGAGCCCTCATGGCACAGTGGTTAAGCACTTGGCTGCTAGCTGAAAAGTGAGTGGTTGGGACCTATCAGCCACTCCACAGAAGAAAGCTTGGCAGTCTGCTTCCCTAAAGATTACAGCCTTAAAAACCATATGGGGCAATTCTATTCTATCCTATAGTATGGTTATGAGTCAGAACCAATTTGACAGAAATGGGTTTTGGTTTATAAGCAGAGAAACAGTACCTCCCCTCAAAGATCTTAAATCTGCTTAGAGAGACAATAAATAGTCATGGAACAAGTTTAAAAGTACTAAGATCTAAAATTTTGGTGTGCAGACAGTGCTTGCTCTATGAGGTCACAGGAGAGATGGATGTGGAATGAATTAGTCTGGAAGAAAGGATGGAACTGACCATTTTAAAAGTATTTTGTACAGAACAGGCAGTGTACTGTCACTTTTAAATAATTAGCTCATTTAATTGTCACAGTTACCTGGAAAGGTTAAGTATTCTGAGACTCACTCAAAGATGAAAAAATCTGAAACTCAAGTAGTTAGGGGAAGAAACAGTATTAACATCTTGCTCTTTCTGACGCATAATGCTCAGTGAAGACATCCTTGGAGGTGGAGGGTGAACTGAGTTCCATTATGGAACAGGCATGGGAACAGAGGCACAGAGCAAGACTGAATGAAGAAGCCCATGTGGAGGGTGATGTTGAAATAGGCCAGAGAAATAGTGTGTTATAAGCCAGACAAGTAATAAAACTGGCTATTATTTGTTGGAGACTTACTATGTGCAGGAGTCCCTGAGTGTTACAAATGGGTAATGTGCTCAATTGCTAACTGAAAAGTTAGAAGATCAAATCCACACAGAGATGCCTTGGCAGAAAGGCCTTTTTTTTTTTTTTTTTTTTTAATACAGGCATACCTCAGATATTACAGGATCAGTTCCAGACCAACGCAATGAAGCAAATATTGTAATAAAGTGAGTCACACAATTTTTTTGCTTTCCTTGTGCATATAAAAGTTTTCGTTAGGAGCTCTGGTGGTATAGATGTTTGGCTGCTAACCAGAAGGTCAGCAGTTCAAACCCAACAGCCTCTCCACAAAAGGAAGATAGGGCAATCTACTTCCATAAAGATTTACAGCCTGAGAAATCCAGTGGGGGTTGCTATAAGTCGGGATAGACTCAATGGCAGTAAGTTTGATTTTTGATTTTTATAGTCTATTAAGGGTGCAATATAGCATTATGAAAAAGTTGGAAATATTGTGAGAATTACCAAAATGTAACACAGAGACATGAAGTGAGTATATGCTATTGGAAAAATAGTCAATAGACTTGCTTGACACAGGTATTCCACAAAACTTCACTTTGTGAAAATGTAGTGTCTATGAATGCAATAAACAAGATAAGCCTATACATGTCAAGTTTTGTGCTAAGTGACTCATAGGCATGATCTTATTTAGTCCTCACAACAGCCCTTTGAGTTTGTCGTGGAGATAACCCCAGGTCATGGCAACCTCATGTATGTCAGTGGGGAACTGTGGTCCATAGGGTTTAGTAGCTGATTTTTCGGAAGTAGATTGCTAGGCATTTTTTTCCAGGTCACATCTGGGTGTATTCCAACCTCTAATCTTTCAGTTAGCAGTAAACATGTTAACCATTTGAACCTCCTAGGGCCACTATCCTTTGAAATATTGTTGTTGTTGTTGTTGTTAGGTGCCATCAAGTCAGGTCTGACTCATAGTAACCCTATGTACAAACAGAATGAAATGCTGCCCAGTCTGGTGCAAGCCTCACAATCCTTTCTATGCCTGAGCCCATTGTTGCAGCCACTGCATCAATCCATCTCATAGAGGGCCTTACCCTTTTTTACTGACCCTAAACTTTACCAAACATGATATCCTTCTCCAGGGAATGGTTTCTTCTGACAACATGACCAAAGTAAGTGAGACAAAGTCTGGCCATTCTTGCTTCCAAGGGGCATTCTGGCTGCACTTCTTCCAGGACAGATTTGTTAGTTCTCCTGTCAGTCCATGGTATTTTCAGTATTCTTCACCAACACCACAACTCAAAAGCATTGACTCTTCTTTGGTCTTCCTTTGAAATAGGTACTATTATTTATCGTTATTTTACCAGTAAGGAATTAGAGATAGAGGAAAGCTTTTGTGGATCTGAGACCTGAAGCTTCTAAATGTACCTATTATGCTACAAATTTGTTTATCTATCAGTAGAAAGAAGCACAGTCAGGCTCTGTGGCACATTGAACCCTGAGAGGTTGGAGGATCCTACAAAAGATACATAAAATCCTAGGCATATGGGCAGTTAGTATTTTCCAGGGAAGCTGGTCATGACCTTAGTGTTTTTCAGAATTCCTGCTCACATTAAGACATGCCCTCAGACTTCTGCTCCCAAATAGACTTTCTATCCAGGTCTTTGTACAACTGGTCATATCTACCAAAGCAGAAATAAACTGTGTAAACTTCATTTGAATTTTTATTAACTCAGACCAATGGAGCCAAAGGCACAGCTGCACATCTTGCCACTTACTCTCCAATTAGAGGGATGGAATCCAGAAAGTATTTTTGGAAGAAGTCCAGCACATCACTACCGGTTAGAAGTTTTTCAAACTCCTCAAATGGCATGAACAAAGTACACGTGAAAGATTTGTTCTATGATGGAAAACAAAACAGTGTGAGAGAGAGTAGGGGGAGGGGGCAGTGATGCTGGCACTGAAAACTGATCCCTAAATAGCAGTGCTTCTTGTTGTGACCAAAGGCTCCTGGAAGGACTGCCCAGGTAGACCAGAAAGTCATCTTCACTTTATTTCCTCACACCCAAAACAAGAGTTCTACCAACTGCCAAAGGGCATTTCCTGGCTTCCTTGATAATTAAGAGAATTTCTAAACTGTAGACTCCAGCCAGGAGTCCCTGGATACCACAAAGGGTTAATGCATTCAGCTTCTAACCAAAAGGAGAGTTTGAATTGACTCAATGGCAACTAGTACTGGTAGACTTCAGTTATTTCCCCTAAGTAAATACTATATTTCTTAGATTATTAGTAAGTAGGCTGATTTGATTTCTCCTTTCTTTCTTCTGCTTCCTGTTAGGACAGTATTAACAGGCACAAGGACCCAGGGAAAGGAGCTCTGGTAGCATAGTGCCTAAGGTATTTGACTGCTAACCAGAAGGTTGGTAGTTCAAACCTACCAGCCAGACAGCAGAAAGAAGACTGGGCAATCTACTTCTGTAAAGATTTACCACCTCAGAAAACCAAAGGGGGTCACTATGAGTCAGAATTGACTCGATGGCAGTGAGTTTGGTTTATTGGTTTAGGTCCCAGGGGCAGATAGCAGGACAAAGAAAAAGACCAGCCTGAAAAATAGCTAGCAATATGATATCTAGGGTATCTAGGGTCTAGTGAAAGAAAAGCCATACTCTTTTTTGATAATGTATATTCCAATGTCCCACAGACCTTAAAGACTGAAAATAGTTCCTATTATATAACCTAAATCTCCTTGGCTTTATTTGGGGGCCATATCCTCCTACATCATCTTCAGCGAAGATGACAGGGTCAGGGACCACCACACATAAACTCCTTTTATTAATTCATGTGTGTTATATCTCTCTTCCAAAGTAAATACTTGTAATTCCTTCTATTTTTTCCCTCTTTAATCTCAAATTTTCAGTCAATTAAACCATGAAGAGATTAATTAGAATACACAAATACTAAGCACAAAAGTGAGTAAAGAGAAACATCAATGTTAGATGCAAAATTATAGTTGGTAACAAATTCTGTATTACCGTATTAGGAAGTGCAATCATCATAAAGGTATTTCTAGGCCAAATATGCAGATAATTAGGTTCCATGGCATGCTGCAGAGAGAAAAGTATATACACATAATTTATTAGTGGATACATTACATCTATAAAACTGATTCTGCTTATATTGTAATTGTTTCTACTATACTTTGAATCATTATCATACACACGATGATATGCACATCTACTGCCACATAAAGTAGAATCAGTCTCAGAAAATACTTTGTGCTCTGTATTTATAAACTCATCTAAGATGGGTTTTTGATACCACATATAATTAAAGACTTAAGAACATGCTATATAGTGACTCTCTTTCCTGCTCATATATGTATATATGGGTATAGTCAAACTGCCACCCTTTCTAGTAGTAGCCAAGCATTTTAACTGTTTGCAGCACGCAGGGATATAAACTGCCACCCTTTTGGTTAGTAGCCAAGTGCTTTAACCATGGTTAAAAGCACTTTTCTACTAACTGAAAGGGTGTCAGTTTGAGTCCAACCAAAAACACCTTGGAAGAAAGGCCTGACAATCTATTTCTGAAAAGTCAGCCTTTGGAAATCCTGTGGAGCACAGTTGTACTCTGACACACACAGGGTCTCCATGAGTTGAAGTCAACTCCATGGTAACTACACACACACACACACACACACACACATATATATATGTATGTGTGTATATGTGTGTGACCTGATGCCTAAGGCATTTGACTGCTAACTAGAAGACCATGGTTCAAACCCACCAGCCACTCCTCAAAAGGAAGTTTGGGCACTCTACTTCTGTAGGGATATTGCCTCAGAAACTCAAGGAAGGGTTACTATGAGTTGGATCCAACTCGATAGCAGTTAGTTTGATTTTTTTTTTTTGTATATGAGTGTATGTGTATATAATTTTATTTTGTATTTTACTTTACTTAGAAACTTATCAGACCTTGACAAGAAGGTCTTAAGTTTAAACTTCATGAGCCAAGCAAATTTTCAACAAGCCCCTTATCATTTGTTTCCTACAGTATAAATAGTACAGCAGTCTTTTCTCTGTAGTGACTTCTCTTCAATGCAACAACAGCCTAAATATTGATTCTTTGCAGATCAATTCCTTGGCAGATCAATTGAACTAAAACCCCATTCTCTTGAGGTTCCCAGCCAAATTATATATACAAGAACATGCAATCAATTGTCAAACTATTTCACATATGAATTGCTTTCTACAAATGTTTAGAGACCACCTTCCACCTGTAAATCTTAACACATTGAGAACACAAAAGAACAGCATAGCTTCTTAGCTAAACTTTTCACACTACATTAGAATTATTTGTGTCTTAGCAGAAGTAACTGTTCCTTCCTGGCTTGTTTATCCCCAGAACTCCAACACATAGACATTATAGAAAATTAATTAGTGAATAACTCTTTGACCTTGAAGATCTTACAATGCAGTTAAATAGGCAAGATGTATACATATGAAAACAACACTAGTTGTAGAAAGGTAATAAATGATTTGGAGCCACATTAGAAGTTCACTAAATAAAAGCTAGGAGGTAAAGACTTTGGGGCTGAAGTGAGTACAACAGAGGATGTGCACATGTTGCGTAAGAAGGGAATGACAGTACGTTCTGGGTGGAGAGGGAACTTGCCGAGAAAAGGGCAGGAAGCATAAACATAATGTTTTGGTTGGGCAGTGAGGAGGCCAGCCTGGATAAGGGAAGTGTTCTTGTTTTTTCCCTTGTTACCATCTCATCACTTCTATAACATTTTTAAACTCCAAAAGATAAACAAAGGAGGAGAAATGACATCTGAAATAAGTTTTGCTATTATTTGCTGCAATAGTAAATGTTGAAGCTGCTGATTAAAAACAGTTTGGAAGTTAATATATACCCCCTCCCCGCTTTTCTCATTGGCATAGATGGTGGTTTATATATCATTTTGACATAGCAGACAGGAATCGAACCTGCATCTCTTGCATGGAAAGTGATCATTCTACCACTGAACCACCATTGCTTCCTTCAACAGAACCTTCAAAACTCATTGCCATTTAGTCAATTCTGACTCAGAGTGACCTCCATTGGATTTCCAAGGCTTTAAATCTTTACAGAAGCAAACTGCCTCATTTTTCTTCCATGGAGTGGCTGATGAGTTAGAACCATCAACCTTTTGGTTAGTGGCCAAAAGCATTAACCACTATACCACCAGAGCTCCTTCAACAGAACCCTGCTCTGCTATAATCCAGAATTATCAGATCCTGGGCTATGAGAATAAGACCCACTTGAATACAGTAAAATAAGCACTGAAAAATTAGTAAATATATTTTTGATTGGGAGGAAGTAATAGAAAAATGAAATGTTAAAATATGGATTTGACTGGCTGATATATTTGTTAGTATATAACATTAATATCCTGAATTAACTAGCTATTTTTTTCATATAGGACAGATTAAATCAGTATTTTAAAAATGGATGTTTTATATGCAAATCAATTGCTTAACTAATATTGTTTCCAAACCAAACTCACTGCCGTGGAGTTGATCCTGACTCATCGTGACCCCTCCTTTCGTTTCTGAGCCAGTATCTCTATGGAAGTAGATTGCCCAGTCTTCCTTCCAAGGAGTGGCTGGTAGGTTTGAACCATCAGCCTTCTGGTTAGCAGTCAAATGCCTTAGGCACTAAGCCACCACAACTCATCCTTAATTCTAAGCCAAGAGTTTTATTACTTCTGTTGGTACTTTATTTTCCTTTATAAGTTCCTACATCTGTTTGCTTATGGAGAATATAAGAATACGCATGCCACATACTTGCCTTAGGTTACATATGGTTAAAGAGTGTGAACCAAGAAATGAGAAAAAAACAGTTACTTTTGCAAAAACTTGCTGTTCACTTCATTTAATAATTTATTAGATTTAATCATGATTATCAGAATTTACTGGAGATTTTATTTCCAACCTGTTTTTTTTTTCTCCTAAAACAAACTAGACAAATGACATTCTTATGTAAGACATAACTTATGAGTGTTTCCAATAAGGTAGTTCTAGCTCCTCTCCTTTCTTTCCCACTCAAGAAAGCATATCAAAAGGGAGTGAGAGTTATATTATTAAAGAGACAACTATGCATCTAATTTATTGTTGATTGCAAAGCATTAGTGGCAAACTTCAAAACTTATCAAGACATACTTCTGAGAAGCCCTGCACTAGAATAAGTGGAGGTTGGGGGGCAGCATCTGGTAAGGGGATGAGACAAGGAAATCACTTACATCTCCATTCTTAGGTGGTATAGTCAACTCCATGTACCCATGAGGAATATATTGCTGACTATAATCAAAGCGGGGTTTCTTCATGAGGTAGCTTCTGACAGTTGAGTAGGCGCCATCACATCCTACAATGAGGTCACAAGTGATGTCTTTAGGAACATTGTCAGATCTGAAAAATAAAATGAGCCATCATTTTATTGAAAATAAAATGAAGAAAAATGTCTAATGGTGAAAATGATATTTTACTTCCACTTGGACATGGTAAGTAGTAGTTCAATGGGAAACAAAAGACTCACTCTTCCATGTCTGACTTAGAGCAGAGTTTCCGACCAGCTTTTCCCACCTGGTTCAGTCATGGCCAACAAAGTGAAACTGGAATGGACCCAAATGTGTAAAATGTCAGTAAAGGAATAATAACCAGAATGGGAAAAATTATGAGATGATGCCCTGCTAGAAACTTAATCCCTTTCTTAGAAAACAAGGGCAGTGTGAATGTTGCATAGCAATCAAATCTTTTGACCAGCAGAGGTAGAAACAAACCCCACTCAAAGATGGCAGCTGACTGACTGCGCTGCTTTGAATATGTGTGGCTCTCCACAGTCTTGGCTATAATTCAGTTTTGTATATCAGACTCATAAAAGGGCTCAGTATGCCTCTTCTGAGTCTCCCATTCCTGGGTTATGACCTGTAATTTTCCCCAATTCTGGTTCTCATCCTGTTATACTCACATTTTACAAATTTAGATCTGTTCCAATTTTTCTGTGTTGGCCATGACTCAACTGATTTAAAACAGTTTGAAGCCGTGACTTAGAGTTTTGTGTTGACAGTCTATAAAATTAAGATGACAATACTTATCCCAATCATGAATTTGCTTATAAAAATGAGAATAATAAACAACAATGCTGATTAATAAATATGTGCAAGGCCATGAGAGCATGACCAAGAGTTGAGATTTCTGCATGAAGGAAGAGAATCTTGAAAAGAAGTCAAGGTGTTTCAAGTAGAAGGGATGTATTAATGATTTCTTTATTCCTATTTCCTAGGAGTAATAAGCTTAGCTTGAGCTAAGAGTAGCTGAAGAAGTGCTTAAGAGCAGGATACATCATTAGGTGGGGAAGACAAAGAGAAAAGAAAATTTTGGATGCTAACACAAAAATTTAAATATATTATTCTGGTTAAAAGGGGACTTTTTTTTATTAGGGTGATGATATATGAAAAATGACAGCTTAGAAAATTTACTGGGCAGTAGATGTATTGAAGTGGAGGAAGAAAGACAGAAAAGAGGGAGAAAAAACCCACTGCCATCAAGTCGATTCTGAGTCATAGTGACCCCCATTGGGTTTCCAAGGTGATAAATCTTTATGGAAGTAGATTGTCCCATCTTCCTTCTCAGAGAAGCTGGTGGGTTTGAATGGCCAACCTTTGGTTAGCAGTCAAATGTCTTAGACATCACACCACCAGAACTCCTTGGGAGGGGGAAAACAAGCATGAAATGATTGCAATAGCCTATGTGTGCAAGGATGACAGCCTGAACTATTGTGGTGCAGCAGATAGGAAGGGAAGACAGATTCTAAATACAGAAGGAAGTAACAAAGACTAGGAATGGGACAATTTATAGACTTCATTTAATGGGATAAAGTAGATGAAAAGGGTATACCAAGAATGAATCTGACTTTCAGTTAGTAATACTAGGGAAGGAGCTTTGGTGGCACAGTGGTTAAACTATTTGGCTGCTAACCACAAGGTCAGCAGTTCAAACCCACCAGCCACTCAGTAGGAGAAAGATGAGGGAATCTGCTTTCATAAAACTTTGCAGTCTTGGAAACCCTATGGGGAAGTTCTACTCTGTCCTAAAGGGTCACTATGAGTTGGAATTAACTCAACAGCAGCTATTTTTTTTTTTTTTTTTTAATACTAGGGAAGTCCATAACCCATCTGTTAGCTTGTCATACTATGGTGGCTTGTATGTTGCTACAATGCTGGAAGCTATGCCACCAATATTTCAAATACCAACAGTGGACAGGTGGACAGGTTTAAGTGGAACTTCTAGACTAAGACAAATTAGGAAGAGAAGGCTGGTGATCTACTTCTGGAAATTAGTGAACAAAAAGCCTACAAATCACAACAGAATACTGCCCAATATAGGAAGATGAGCCCTGTAGGCTGGAAGGCACTCAGATCCACCATGACTACCACAATGGACTGAAGCATACAAACAATCATGAAGATAACTTAGGACCAGCCAACATTTCATTCTGTTATTCATTCTCAACAGCCACTAACAACAACAGCTAGGGAGGTCAGGAATTTTGAGAGAATTTTGAGAGAAATAGATGATGAAGATTTTAGATGTATTTAAGATGATGGGTAAGATGTACCAGTGAAGATGTTTAGTGGGAAAGCACAGACACAGGACTGAGAATGAAGATAAAGACCTGGGGTGGGAGGTTTCTTTTAGAGAAATGAATCTACTAGTGGTTATTGAATCCACCACTATGAGTCCCTGATGTATCCCCAGGCTGGGATATGGGGCTTGGAAAGTTATAGGAAATACAATCAGTCAAAGAAAGGCACCAAAAGAACCTCCAGAAAGAGGAGAGAAGAAGCAGGACAGGAAGAAAGAGTTTGAAAAAAAGTGGTCGCCAGTGTTGACTAATCTTGAATGAGCATGAGTCAGAAGGTATGTAAGTTCTCTTTTAAATCTAAAATATCTTGAATCTACAAAACAGTTGAATTATTCTTTTAGTAATTATTTAACTTTTTCAAAGAAGCCAAAGAACAAAGTTTACACATCAGTTGTCCACTCCAACCCTTCACCTCTGAAGCCAAAGTTCTGACAGCAATTACCCAAGCACTGTGATTGTTCTTTCTCCAGGGTTACATTTCAACAACCTGTGGCCAAAGTGCACCTTTGCATTGGGGTATTTCTCAACAGCTGAGGAAACAAAGAAAACAAGGAGAAATAATGTTTTAATTTTTATTTCATTAAACTAACTTGAAATATTAATAGTTTTCTGAGAACAGTATTTATTATTCACAATATAAAAATGAATTAGTTATAATTATAATTTGACAAACATTTGCCAAATGTTCCTGTATAATTTGGTAGTAAAGCAGATTTTTAAAAAAAAAAAAAAGAGTTATTCTCATCTCAAAAAAATCTAATTCCATTGTGCAAACTCTTAAATTACTTTAATTGTTGGCACCCTAGAAAAGAAGAAAATACCAAATATTATTAAAATTGTCTCTATCTAAAGCAGGCAAGCATACAGAGACCAAAGCTTATTAGTGGTTACCAGGGGCAGGCAGAAGAAAGAGGAAAGGAAGACTTAGTGCTTATGGGACACTGAGCATCTGCTAAGGATGATAGTACAATTTGGTAATGAATAAGGGTGATGGTTGAACAACATGATGAACACAATTAATGTCAATGGATGGTACATGTAAAGATGGTTGAAATGGCAAATGTTTTGTTACCTATATATTTACTACTACAACAAAAAAAATTTTTTTAAAAGAAATTGCCTCTAATTTAAGGCATTATTTGTGATTAGAAATATTCAGCTAAATTCCTTTCCTCACACTATGCCTGTCTCTATCACTCTTTTTAGCAAGTTCTCTGGACTTCAGATTCAAGTTGCCATGAATGTAGATTATTGATACTAGGTCTTTTTAGAATCCAGTAAAGGAATTGAAAAGAAAAAAAAATAATAAAAATTCTTGAAACAGTTCAACAAATAGAACTAAATTATGTTAGTGCCTTTTTGTTTACCTGCTAACGATCATTAAAAATTACTGAATTTCGGAGGCGGGGCAAGATGGCGGACTAGGCAGAAGGATTGCA